TGTTATTATAATGGTATTAAGCATCTAAATAGACGTCCTACTATGACTAAAATTTGGGAAATCGAGCACTCACAATGAAACATTCAAACTTGCACAATCACTATCGCCGTTCAATCTACTTTAAGTTATAATCTAACTCAGTATTGAGGCATTTAGCGAATATACAGCTTAACATATAAGTTCAGACAAAACTGTTCCCATCTGCAACCATCTCTGTCCTTTGGTAAAAATACAGTATAAACCTACGTACCACCTAACTGGACTAAGTGGTGGGTGGAATTCCAAGATGAACTTCCTTAATGATCCAGGGTGCCTACAGCTAAAATAATCAGGCATCCTAGTATTAAAATACCTGGGTAAATTTTAATCGTGAGATTGTATAACAACATCTGAGAAGGGTCTTCTCAAGGACTTTTATTATGGATAGGTCATACTGTTTGTTCACCAGCCTACCAACACATGGTTCACGAAATAAAGACAAACCGGCTGATTTCTCCCATTCAGTGTGTATTTATCAGTTTTACTGCTCCTGTAGTACTAGTTACATTTGGCGCATAGTTATGTAACTTCATCGTTAAATTTCTGAACGATACCCATCTTGGTTATCTGAATGACCAAATATAGCAATACGTAGTCGAAAATTAGTTGATTTCGTCGACACAAAACATCAAATCAACATTAACAGAGCAATTAAAAAGTTATTTATCGTATTTCACCCAACCTTTCGTATTCTCTACATATACAGCACATTTAAACGAATCATTGTTTTGCCCAAAGTCTACTTAATCACTCAATGTAACAAAAATGTAATCACCAATATAAAATTCGTAGAAAAATAGGAGACAAGAACTCTAGACAAAAATCCAATAAATATTATCATGTTTGATATAAAATGCCAAAAGAAAAGAGACAAGTTCACTCATAATCTTATCAACACAGCTAGCTGCCATCTCATTTTAGAAAAGAGTCTACAAATGTTCGACTGCGTTGTTTACATACATCAATTACTTCTGTCCACCCCCCATACTGCATAATGTTAACCGTAGTAGACAAAGGATGGATCTGACTTAATGCATTAAATAATCTTTGTTAGGCTTCTTAATTCATGAAACATTAGCACATGCAATTTTGATTTTGCATACTATTTCCTGACCACAGAAGAGCGCTTATCGCACAATGACTGAAGAACACAGTTAAAATAGAAAATATTTTGAAAGAAATTGATAAAAGCACAGTTTGGTGCCTTTGCATCAGCCGATCATGTGCTGCAGAGAGATCACGCAGATGACCTTCAAACATCCCCTTGCTTACATACGTCTTAACCACTGTTAGTACTTTTAGTGACATTAAATAAATTCATGAATATTCCTCAGCTAGGCATCAACGAAAAAACCAACGGAGAAATAAGTGGTACAGCGAAGAGACAATTTTCGGCGAATTCATTTTCTTTAGCTGTATTACAATCACATTGATAAACATTTTTCTTCTTACAAATGATGACAGTAATCAAAGTGATCAGTTGTCACAGGTGTGATCACAGTTGTTAATATTAATCAATACACTAGAAGAGTTGAATAAGGGTGTTAGAATTGCGTACCAGTGCGATAAATAATTTAATGAATGATTTGTATTCAGGATGTATATAGCAACGAAGATAAATGTGGATGAGGGTAATTTCATCATATGCAATGACGTCAGTAAACCAAGCTATCAAGTGTCAGCAACCACTAATCGAGTATCCTTTCAAATTCATAGAAAACCAAAGGTTAACTGTATTGATATTTTGTGAAATGACATTTTGTTTTACCCTAATTGACTTTAAATTTGTGACATATAATCCATCCAAAAGATAAATTATTTAGCTTTCAACAGAAGACATTTCACATATGTTTTATTTTTAAAACTATTTAACAAATTTGCAGCAAAGTTAATTGTCTTACATTTAGCTGTTATATTTAAATATAATTACTGTTTTATAGGATTGGTTTTGTAGGGATTGGGCTTGTTTGGTCGGATGATTTCTTCATCAGCTAACACCAGTTAGGGAACCATTAGAAAATCACCAGAGAGTATTGCACTGCTGTTTCGTCCTAATTTGGGTCTCTTCACAGTACACACTATCGGCCAGGGTTCAAACCTCACGACCTCCTGGTTACAAGGCTAGCAAGCTCGTAAACCATTAAGCCACTGGGACCCAACCAAATGGTCCGTGAATTCTAACTTCTGCCAATCCATGACCCAGTTTGAATAACTGCACTGCGGTGAGGCACACCACTCTAGGCAAAGTTAGAATTCGTGGGTCCCAGTGGCTTAATGGTCTACGAGCCTGCCTTATAACCAGAAGGTCCTGGGTTCGAATCCTTGCTGGTGGGTGCGTACTGTTAAGAGTCCCAGACTAGGAAGAAACAGCAGTGCAATACTCTCTGGTGATTTTCTAACGGTTCTCTACCTGATGTCAGCCAAACACGATGAAATACTCCAGCCAGTTACTGTTTCACACAGAAAGGTAAAGCTGGATGAAAAAATGAAAAAAATCCAAAGGCACCTCCATATTATATAGGCCTATTTGCTATAGCACACAAAATTAGAGTATTAAATGACTAGATGACGTTTCCAGCACAACTGATTGGTCGTATTCGTATTAGTGTATTTATAAGACTGCATAATCTGCTTTATATTCTTCCATTCACTCCCCTCCTTAAAGTGAAAGTACATGAAGTAAGTTATGCATTATGATTACAGTGGCAAAATTATGAGTAATGAATTGTGTTCAAAACATAATCCAGTTAGTAACATCGCATTACTGTGTGTCATATCAAATAAACTTATCGCATATGAACATATATTTCAGCAAATTGACTATTATTATTATTGTTCCCTTGGGTTCCTAGCGGAACATAGGGCTTCAACTGCACGTATTCACTTGCCACTTCTGTCTCCCTTCTGATGTACTTTTCACCTGCATCCATCTTAGTCCATACTGTTTCAACTCCTCTGTCTTCACACGATCTCCTCCATGTCACCCTTGCACTGACGTCCCACTCGCCGCTTCCCTTTCGGCCTGGTTCCACTCGAGCAATGGCCTGACGCTTGCGCGATGTCACCCAGAGGCCTCCTCAGCGAGTGAGTGTCCAATCCATCTCCACCTCCTCCTGCATATTTGTTGGTTGGCGATTGGTTATTGCTTTGTTTGTTTGTTCCCATAGTTTCTTGTTGGTGATTCTTTCCGGCCCGGTCATCTGATCTTCAGTATAGAGCCAGCGAAGACAGTTGTTGATAAAGGTCTGCAACAGGCTGCTGGAAATATTCTGATCCGTATAGAAGAACTGACTGACTTGACGTTGTTTGTATTGAAAATCCGAATTTTTCTAGCAAAGTGACTAAGTAAAATTCTTACGTTAGTTTTTCACTGACAAATTTTGAGTACATATTCATACAATTAACATTTAATTAAATATATGAGTTTCTGTAGCGACTGGATCGATTTTTCGCTTTAGATTGGGTCGCTAGCCCCATACTAAACCTTTCCTCTTTTCCCGATTTGAACACCGGCTAGAAAATTAGCGAACTAGTAAACTAGGTAGGTGAACATAAGGAAGACGGAGGTGATGAGGATATAAACAACCAATCAACGAAAAACAACAAGCACCAATAAATGTCAACGGGAAAAATTTGAAATACGTCACTTCCTTCATTTATGTAGGCACCATCGTTTTAATTTCAGGCAACTATACGGATTGGAATATCAAAGCTAGCCAGAATAAGAAAGATAATACACAGACGTCCATCATTCCGGAATCAGTTCGGAAGCCTTCTGTACTTCACGTACAAACAAAAAAATTCTAGTTTCCAATACAAAGGTCAAGTTAGTCATATATGACTCAGAAACTTGCTAAGTGACAAAGAGCATTTTGACACAGGCTGCAGACGTTTATCAACAGCCGCATTCACTCCATATTGAAGATCAATTGTGCGTCGGTGGCACAGTGGTTAGGACTCTCGCCGACCATGCACATGGTCCGGGGTTCGAGCCCTCGCCGACGCACACCTGATATCTATGGTTGGCCTGCGAATTTTGGGCTACCGATATCCACGCTGAAAATTCCACACTTGTACCAAAAATACGGTGTGGAATCAAGCTGTAACCATAAAATAAAAAAATAAAAAATAAATAAAATATGGCCAGAAAGGATTAGCATCAGGAAACTATGGGAACGAATCAAACAAGAACCTAGTTCGCAAAAAATAAGCCGAAGGAAATGGAGATGGTTCGGACACACGCTGAGAAGACCGTTGGTTGGTATCATGCACCAGGTGGAACGAGAATGAGGAGGGACGATTTGGGCGTCCAAGTATGACACAGAGGAGATTGTATGAGGAGGCGATGAGAGACTATGGGGAATCGTTGGACCAGCTAAAGATGATTGCAGAGAGCGGGACAAAACTGATTTGTACTGTTCAGGCCCAATTCTCTACTCGGAACCCATAAAAAAAATAGTAGTATTACATAATCAGGTGGCGTAAGATAGACTGAGGATAAGTAGTCTAGACGGAAATCCATCAAAAAGGTCTTCTTGCAGTCTTTATCTCTCTCTCTGTCTCTGTGTTGAGCACAAGCTCCTATCTGATATCTTGTCTCATATAGCCATAGTTTAATTTATATGTCTGCCTCTGTGTATATCACTTTATCTGATATAACTATTTAGGTGATAATCATAAGAAGAGTTAGCTTTCTTATTTTGACCACCAGCATAAGTGCCAAAGAGATCAAAATAGGTGTATAGTATTAGCAACACAGTAGATAACACTGATAAAAAACTGATAAAACCAATAAGGAAGCTTCTTCTTAACAACATCACATTTTAATTTCATAACAAAATAATAATAATAATATTAATCACCATGGCATCTGTTTTATTATTATTATGGTTAGCATAACGTGTCACTCAGAATTTACAATATAATCATCACCATTGTGGTTGTTGCTAAAGTCTTTAAATATGCTCAATTCAAGGGAGATTTCTACAACTGATGATGCCAATGATATCGGCTCTGATCATGAGACTAATACTAATTCTTCTGATATAGAAGCGATGGATGGGACACCATCACTAGAAATTGCCTCAGCATCACCGACAATATCGACATCAACAAAATCAGATACTATAAATCCTAGTTCAACTGTATCAAAAACTGCTTCTAATCAATGTGATAATCAAGAAAGCCTGTTAAATTTGCTGAACTCTAATTTTCTCGCTTGTTCTATTTGTAATGCACGAAATGGTGGGATAAGGGTAAGTTGCTTTTTTATAACCTTTTTCTTTTAATGAAGTTATTTTTCTATAGTTTGGTTTGTAAGGGTTATTTATGTTTTTACGAGTTGATCACGGATTGATTCCAGTTAGAGAAGCATTGAAAACCAGAGAGTACCGGACAGCTGCTGTTTCATCCTAGTTTGGTAATCATCGGCAGCTATTATTCTGATATATGTTTCACCGGCGGTTGGGTTTCATTATGAACCAATCACAAGTGGTGTAGGAGACCCATCTGTTAGGAGGACTAGAATGCGTTGGTTTTCTGTAAACACTAGTGTGTAGTTTGCCTTCTTCTATTCTTTTTATCTTACAATCTAACATAGTTAATTCTCCTAGTTCCTTTTCTGATTCAAGTGTGAATTTTATTCCCTCTACTTGTGAGTTTATATGTGTCAAGAAGCTGAGATATGTTCTGTTTTTAACACCGTGAAAGTGTCATCCACATATCTCCACCATATTTTTGGAGTAGGGTTAAACGTATTAAGAGCACTACTTTCCCAGCTGTCCATAAATATGTCTGCTACAATAGGGGATGTTGGTGGTCCCATTGCTACACCTTCTGTTTATCTATGTATTTTGCCTTGGAACTTAAAGATAGTAGATGTGAGGCATAACTGAATCCCTAACATAATTTGTTCGATGGGTAGCTTTGTCCTATGATTCAGTTCATGATCCACAGTTAGTTCTTTTTTCACTGCTTCTAAGGCAATAATGACTGGTATATTAGTATAAAGACTAGTTATATCAAAACTAACCATTTTTTCATCATTCTCTAATTAAACGTCGTTTAGTTTACTTTTCATCTCATATGAATTAGTTAATCTAGAGTTTGAACGGTTTCTAATGGGAAAAAGTATCAGAGCTAAGTGTTTTCATAATTCATAAGTAGGGGTATTTCTGAAATCTACTATTGGTCGTATGGGGTAACCTGGCTTATGTATTTTAATAGTACCATGCATTCTACTAGCATTATTAGTTTTAGGCATTAAATTAAACCATTTAGACTCACCCAGTGACGGCTTCATTCTGCGTATTAGTTCCGCTTGATGGAAATGGCTTCAGCAAAATTGAGGAGAATTGAGCTCTTTTGCCTATTGATAATTTTGAACGACTTTTCGACGTCCACCTCATGACCCGTGTCAAGGAGATGCCTGGTGATGGCACTGTTTAAAGCATTCGTTCCCTTTAGATATAAGCTTTTTGGTACGTGTTCAGAAAATCGTAGATCTGCCCTTCTTTCTGTCCTTCTAATGTAACTGCTCCCGCAGATACGTGTAAATTTGTATATACAGTTGGAGTTATGATATGATGATATGCAGGATATGATGATTGACAGTGAAACAGAAACTTGTGGTGCATGAAAGTTTACATCCCTGTTACGAGCCATTTGTCTTACCAACTGAGCTAAATGAACCAGTTGCCCATCAATTAGTAGTATCACTTCTATCCTGAAAAGTTTTTCATCATCTATACATCCGAATTTCAGCCCAACTGACTAAAATACCCCGTAATTTGTGGAATTAGCTACAAGACCTGCCTTGTATTCTGACAGAGGATCAGTCTTCAAAACCAAGATTGTCTCATTTAGTTTGATTAACAAAGTAAGTGACAAGTAAGCCAGAGCCCAGGAGTATGGGCTTCAATATGACTCAGATTTTCTTCCATTTTGGAGTTAATTGTCAAGCAGTTACATTAAATCAGTCGGTCGAGTCATGACTGTCTATGATGGGTGAATTAATAATTGCAAAACGGTTGTTTTCATTGAGCTGGTGCTTAATGTAATCGAAAAAAGGCGTAAGTTGACAACTGTTACAGTTAGATGAGATATCAAATCAACACTTCAGGAGCCTAGGATGATTGTAAATTATTGTAAAGCGTCTAGCATGTTACAACTAGATCAATATAATTACAAACAGTATGTTTTTATCGAGTAAATAATGAATTATACAAACGAATTTAAAGCACTATTATATCATAAATGTTTTGACTGTGTTTGTCAATTTGTTATTCATTCTTAAAATAGTGTTTAGCTAATTGATAAATTATATTAATTATGCGAAGAGTTCAAGATTAATCAACGTAAAAGTACATTGGGGTATAGTATTCAGCTCTAGATTAGGGTTTATTCGCCTTTATGCACCAAACAGTCGGGACAGTGAATACTAAATGACGAATGATTTGTTTATTTTGTGAAATCTATTGCCATTTTTGACTGTATGGCCTTTCAGAGTATCCGCTGTAAACAACCCCTCACAAAATGAGTGGATATAACGACAGTTTCACATTATTTGCCTTATTAATCATTATAACTGATTCCCAGAGTGGAAGCAAGTGATTGGTGTTTAATTGGTTACAGGATTTCATCATGAGCTGACATTAGTTAGAGAACCATTAGAAAATCTGGGGGACTGGACAGTTGTCTTGTCCTAGTTTGAGACTCTTTTTGCAGTACGCACCCATCGGGATTTGAACCCAGGACCTTCTGGTTACAAGGTGAGGTTGTATACCACTAAGCCACTGGGACCTGATCTAATAGCCAGCCCATGAATTCCAACTTCTGCCGATTCACGCCATAGCGTGATCCCTAACAGATGTCTTCGGCGAGTATTTGTCCTCTCATCCGACCAGATGCACCCTACTGGTCACGACTTCCCACTGGAAGCCCAGGTGACTACCTACCTGAATAGGGCAAGTCGCTAGTGAGCATCTCATTGATATTCAAATATTGGTTTGTAGGCATTTACCCTGTTCAGGTAGGTAGGGGTTCTATTGAGAAGTCGTGACCAGTAGGGTGCATCTGGTCGGATGAGAGGAAAAATACTCGCCGAAGACATTGGCTAGGGGTCGCGCTCTGTCGTGAATTGGAAGAGGTTAGAATTCATGGACCAGCCATTGGATTGGGTCCCAGGGGCTGAATGGTCTACGAGCTCGCCTTGTAACCAGAAGGTCCTGGGTTCAAATCCCGGTGGATGCGTGCTGTGAAGAGTCCCAAACTAGGACGAGACAGCTCTCCAGTCAGCTCATGGTGAAATGCTGTAACCAATCAAATCCCTACAAACCAACACTTGATTGGTGTTTTAGCTCACAGTCGAATGACCGTTATTCAACAACATTAAGAGACTATATTCAATTCAATTCTGAATCGAGAAGTTATTCCCATGACTAGTAGACAGTGTGTATCACTGAAATGTACCGGATCAACAAGGAAAAACACTCCTAGCACCAATGAGGACTTAATTTATTTCATTTCTTCACGAGAAATTTTACTATAAATTCTAAAGTCATCAAAACAGGTAGTAAAATTATCTCATACTAATGACCTCATTTGACTTTTACTCCACTTTAAAATCACATGATTCATCTGACCAGACAAATGAAACATATAGGTCATTACGATAACCAATTATGTCATCCTCGAGTGTGTATGTGCGTGTGTGTGACAAGAAAGTTCCTTATCAATTCAATCAGTTCAGTGTCTATTCAAAGTAAGCAAACATACAACTCAGACAAAGTCATGGTTGTGAACAACAGTGACCCAGTGGTTGGAATGGTTTTTAATTTGACTCGATGACATAATCTTTAGATGACTCATTTACATACGTTTGGTTTGACCTTTACAGTTCATTCTAGTGACTGTTTGGTTACTATGCTTGTACTTTTGTCTCAGTGATGATGTAATGTTATGCTTGAAACTATGGAAACAAGAGATCTCGACACAGTGATACCCACCTAGTTCAATTTTCTTAAAGAATAAATATTTGAATAGGGAAAAAACAACGCTGTATGGGGTTAGAATAAATTTAGTGAAGAAATTCACTCTGAAAATGATCAGATATCGATATTTTAACATAATGGGATAAAAGAAGAATGCATCAAGAAGAAAAGCTAAACTACAGCGGAGAAAATGAAAAATAACTTCAGAATCACATGAAACAGGTGATTAGATAAAGTACTGGAAGTAAATGAAGCTTCACGAAAGTACTTCATCATTTAGATGATAAATTGAAAAATTCCCATTTAGAAAACAACAAATACAATCATTTTTCTTCAATTTTCAAATGCTGCTTTCCAGGTATTTGATTAGGTACAGATTTTATCGTGAACTGGAATCAGTTGGAGAACCATTAGAAAACCGGGGAGTACTGGACAGCAGTTTCGTCCTGTTTGAGGACTCTTTAAAAGTACACACCCACTGCGGTCCGTAATCGGGACCTGTCAGTCACAAGGCTTTCTGGGTTCATACTGATGAAAACTCCCTGGATTCCCAGTGGTCCTCTGACTGATGTCAGCTTGTGGTTAAATCTGTGACCAATCTAGTCCCTACGAACCAAAACCTGATAATCAGTCTGATGTCCATTAGTGAATGGTTCACTACAAGGGGTTATCTGAAGTTCCATTGAGAAGTCAGTACTAGTAGAGTCCACGAAGTCAGGTAAGAATACAGTTATTCGCCGATTACACTGGCTGGCAACGTGTTTCTCAGTAACGGCTCCCAACTGAATTTCAGTTTATCAAAACCTTGCACCAGACATATTCTAATTACACCGAACTATGCTGTTTGTCTTGCATAATTTTTTGTAGCCTTTCACAGAACTTCATGTCAAAATGCATAAGAATTTGACGAGACACTGACTTAAAAGTAAGATACTTCTCCGCTCATTAATATGAACTGAAGTAAATCGTAAACTTGTTTTAATAAGAGGGTTTGTTGTGGTTCTCCATTGGTTTCTCAATAAGTTAAATGGGAAGCTTTCTTAGTGATTCGCATTAAGGATATGTCTACTAATTAGTGCTGATGATCAAGTTTTATTGCGGACATAAGTAAATCATATAGAGATAAACGAGATTCCATAGCCTCAAAATATTTCAGTTGTTAGATATTGTTAGGAACCAACTTGAGTTAGAGAGGTCATTAAAAACCAGGAAGCACTAGACAAACGAAATTATACCAATCACCACAGATCTTATAATCTAAAAAT